TTTCACTAGAATTACAAAAAATATTGTTAGTTTTGAGAAAAACTGTTGGTTGGTTCCTTTGAATCAAAGATAGAGTTTAAAAAAAAACTGTTTTTTTCACACTTGTTAGCTTCGTAAGAAAGTTTAGGATAATACGCACTATTTTTTCGCAGATCGAGGACTACACCAATCTTGGGGGTATCAACTTTTAATCAATTTCGTTAATTCAAAATAAAGGAAATTACGGTACGGAAAGAGTACATCGCTTCAAAAATGACTCAATATTTTTATCTTGAGTTGTTAAAAAATAAAAAAGAGTAAATTTTCAAAAAATTTTCAAAAATTAAAAAAAAAGATTTTTTTTCAAAAATAATTTTTTTTTTCAAATTCAATGAGCAAAAAATGCCCAATTGTGAAAGAATTGAAAAAAAATCAAATTTTTCATTTTTACGAACGTTACAGGGTGCTCAGAAATGTAAATTTTGCTCCTTTAAATTTTTCTGAAATTTTGATTAAGCGGTCCGGAAAAACCGTTCGATAGATCGATCTGCCCATTTACGGAGCTTTTGGGGGTACATCGAGGTGTAAAAATTCGTACAAGCATTAGACTCTCCATCGATATTAGCAAAGATGCGGTCGACTTAGCAAAACAAGTCAAAAAGTCACTTTTTTTCACTTTTTTCAAGTTAATGTCGAGGATGAAAGAAATTTTTTTTCTTCCAAGAACGCTACATAGCCTTGTAGGAAATTTATTCGAGATTTCGAAACTGCCCGTCAATTTTCTGTCTGATCATTAGTTGCCGAGATATCGATGGTTAAAGCCAAAAGGATGCTTTTGTATTCGTAGTCGGATATCTCCGGGTCAAATTAACGTAGAGAAAAATTTAAAAATAGAAATTAAAGCTGAATGAACAGACTATCAAGTCCACATCATGATTTTTGTGTAAAAATTTTTTCCAAGCCCGTGGACCGAGAAAAAAACGCAAAAAATTGGAAAAAAAAATTTTTTAGTCTTATTTCTTAGAATTTCGCGATGACTGTCGCTCCTAAAAATTTTGAGCTAAGAAATCTGGAAACTAGACATTCGGCGCTTTAAAATGCTTTTTTTAAAACCTTGGTACGATCATTTTTAACTGAGATACAACATTCTGAAAAATCACTAAAAATTCGACACATTTTTTTGCTCCCTTAATTTTTTGCAGAAGTTTATTCCATTCGACCGAATTAGTAGACAATCTTTCCTGTTCCGCAATACTCCCGTCATTATGCTTTCACATTATTAAAATGAAGACTGACACACGGTCACAGGTGTCGGCGTTCAGCGACTCTCCACCGCCGGCGTATTACGCAAATCCATGCCGTCCCCAACAAACCCACCGGAGAGCGTTACGTTTATTGACTGCGAGGCGTGCAGGGTATCATCGCCCGCGCACGACCTGCAGCTTTTCCCTCTGATGGGACCGGACAAAAGGGACGAGGGACCGGAATCGACTGGACTTAATCCGTCACTATCACCCTCCGCAATCCACCGACAGCGCTTCCGCACCGTATACAGCTGCAGAATCGACTGTACGACCCAAATAATTGTATGTTGGTGGAATTAGAATTAAAATACAGGATATTTTCTCAACTGTGCTCGATTTTCTTTCGAAGAAAACACCCCAACAAAAAACGACTTTTAGTTAGTCTCGAACTCGTACAGGGCTCCGCAAAGTGTCTAAATTAAAATCGAACGAGCGCCATCCGAGCGGAGTGCTCGGGTTCGAATGACCTGGTACGCTTAAGCGGTTCCGCCTCGAGACAGGAGTCGTAGAGCGTTCATTTTTATTAGCAGAATGAAGCCGGAGAGTCGCTTTATATGCTCCGGAGGAGATATAAATAAGTCGATGCGAGCGTGTCTTGCGAGCCGGCAAAATTGAAGTTATAATTTGTTTTCCGGGCGAACGTGTCCCGAATTTCAACCTGATGGTTAATCCTTTAAACGGATGGATGTCGGGCCGGGGGCGGGGTCACCGTGAATGTAATTAGTTTGTAGAGATTAAAAGTCCGGGGCGATCGCTTCGGATGTACGCGACGGATCGCGCTTGATGAATTACAATTATTAGAAAAAATTGATCATAACGGACAAAGCTCAAAAAATCAGAGACCACCTACGCCGCAGGAAGACGCGCAAATCTTTAACTGTTTCCAAAATCGGCGAAAATTGAGCCCAACAAATCCAAAAACTGAATACCATCATTAACACAGACGCCCGCAATCCATAAAGGATTGGTTTTTCGAAATACAAATTTTCTCAATCAGCCTCGGACCTCACCAATAAACACACTGCGGAGCCAGCATCGAGAGCGTTTGAATGTCAGCACCCCAACTCTTTAGAGACGCCCAATCCATAAAGAATTAGTTTTTCAAAACACAAATTGAGCTTGGCTCGGACCTCGCTAATGAACACACTGCGGAGCTAGCGTCAGGTGCGTTCAACCGTCAGCCCGGAGACCACATAGTTCAATAACCAGAACGCTTTGACGCTTCAAATTTTTTTCAGGTGTATATACACCAGTGTGCTCATTTATTGTTATTACACGCAAATTATGTGATAATCTCAAAAAATTTACTTTAAAAATAAAAAATTCGAGTTATATTTCTCCAAAAAAAAAAATAAAAATTAAAGAACTAGCTCAAAGCTCCCGTTGCCTGATAGCACACTGTCACTCAAGCTTTGTCCACCCTGCGACGAAGATCCTAAAGGATACAGCGAGCTCCTAAAGCTGCCGTACACACAGTTCTTAAAGCTGCCATACACAAGCCTTCCAAGGGGCAAATTTCAAATCAAGTTCTAATGCTTAAACACAAGCTTTTAAAACTTCCATTCAAGCTCCTAAAGCTTCCATGCCAACACATTACTCGAAAATCAGGCTTTTTTTTCGAAAAACAAGAGAGTAGCAATTTGTAGAAAACTGAAAGACGAATCCGAAAATATCATGGTTGTTAGCGTACAGCAGTGGCGTACTATTTTATTTAGAAAAATATGCCACCGATACCCTGTATCTCCGTCACTGGAGCATGTAAATTTTAGGAAAAGCCCTCAGAATTTGGACAATGTTTACATAAATACATGTGCCCNGAAAATATCATGGTTGTTACCGTAAAGCAGTGGCGTACTATTTTATTTAGAAAAATATGCCACCCATACCCTGTATCTCCGCCACTGGAGCATGTAAATTTAGGAAAAGCCCTCAGATTTTGGACAATGTTTACATAAATACGTGTGCCCAATTTCAAATTATTTCACTTACTACTTTTTAAATTATTTAAAAAAATTAAGAATATTTTTTGAAGTTCAACACCCTGTATCTTTTTCAAAGAACGAAGTTTCATTTTGGGTCACCTTTTGTGAATCGCCCTGTATATCAGGACCATGTTTTTGTATTAAAATTATATTTAGGCACATTATTTTTAGTTTTTGTTTTGGAACTATTTCTTAATAGCTTTTAACTAAAAATCTTCAACTGTGTTTCCAAAATCGACGAAAATTAAGCCCCAAAATTCCAAAACCTAAATGCCAGCTCCCCAACTCTTTCCAGAAGTCCGCAACCCATAAAGGATTAGTTTTTCAAAACACAAATTTTCTCAATCTGATTCGGACCTCGCTAATGAAATTCCTGCGGAACTAGCGTTGAGTGCGTTCGAACGTCAGCTCAAGGCCCATACAGTCCAATAACCAGTGTCGGAATTGCATACGAGAAGGGAAATTGCCCGATGAAACAACCCCAAGCGAAATGTGAAAGCAAAAAGACATCTTAGAAACTGTTCTTTTTTACATTAAAAAATTAAACCAAAAAAAATTTAAAAACTGAATGCCAACACAAATACAGACGCCCGCAATCCATAAAGGATTGGTCTTTAGAAACACAAATTTTCTCAATCAGCCTCGGACCTCACCAATAAACACACTGCGGGGCCAGCGTCGAGAGCGTTCGAACGTCAGCTCGGGGACCCAAAATAAAATGTGAAAGTAAAAAAATCTCCATGTGACTTTTTCCCACTTTGACCACTGCTCTTTTTTTACGTGATCAGTCCTTGTCAAGGGTGATAACAGAACGGCAAGAATACAGGGTATTCATTTGAATGATTGCCTTATTTACCAATTTCAATGTATCAGGCATGTGTTTTTGAAATACTTATATTTAGACATATTGTTTCGGATAACTATTTATTACGAGACTTGTTACTAAAAATCTTCAACGGTGTTCCAAAATCGGCGAAAATTAAGCCCAAAAAAAAAACCAAAAACTAAATGCCAACACTAATACAGACGCCCGCAAAGAATAAAGAATTGGTTTTTCGAAACACAAATTTTCTCAATCAGCCTCGGACCTCACCGATAAACACACTGCGGTGCCAGCGTCGACGGCGTTCGAACGTCAGCTCGGGGACACAAAATAAAATGTGAAAGTAAAAAATCTCCACGTAGTAACTGTTTTTTTTACGTGATCAGTCCTTGTCAAGGGTGATAACAGAACGGCAAGAATACAGAATGTTCCTTTGAATGATTGCCTTATTTACCAATTTCAATATATCAGGCACGTGTTTTTGAAATACTTATATTTAGACATATTGTTTCGGATAACTATTTATTACGAGACTTGTTACTAAAAATCTTCAACAGTGTTTTCAAAATCGGCGAAAATTAAGCCCAAAAAAATCCAAAAACTAAATGCCACCACAAATACAGACGCCCGCAATCCATAAAGGATTGGTCTTTCGAAACACAAATTTTCTCAATCAGCCTCGGACCTCACCAATAAACACACTGCGGAGCCAGCGTCGAGAGCGTTCGAACGTCAGCTCGAGGACACAAAATAAAATGTGAAAGTAAAAAAAAACTCCACGCAGTAACTGTTCTTTTTTACGAGAACGGCGAGAATACAGGACATTCTTTCGAAAGAGCGCGTTATTTACAGATTTAGTACAGACCATTCGCGTATTTATTTCGTAAAAAGTATCAACAATAAAAGACTTACCACCGGAAGAGACCTCCTCGTCCCCGAAATCCGAGAAGGTATCGGCGTTCGAGTCGTCGTACGGGTACCACTTGCTCGAATTGACGGCGCTCAGAATACAGCTCTTCAATTTCCTACGTGCATTAAATTTTTTCAACTCCTCTACGGTGTCGCCTAAGTGGATCCTCAGCCCCTTATCTCGATCCTGAAAGAGGAAATAAAAAAAAATCAGTTGAACACTAGAGGCCGGACTAAAATGTGACAAAACAGGGTCGGCTTCTTTAAAGTGGCTGGTTTCAAAATCGAAACCGACGAATTACTTATTTACAATTTCCTTGCTGAAACAATCGAAACACTCACCCTAAGCCACCTGTGATTTAGCACCTCTTGAATGGTTATCCTTTGTTTCGGATCGACGGTTAACATTTGTTGAACTAAGTCTTTCGCACTATCACTAATGAGTTGCCACTGTGGAGCCGAGTCTATCTGTAATTGAAGGCATACATTAACGTCGGAATATCAGGGAAAGCGTTAAGTAATAAACGACATGAAACAGGTGTTCCGTCACAGGGGAGAAACCAACAGAGCGAACTAGTGGAGTGGATTAACGTTTTGCGTATGATTTTACGCAATTTTTCCGTTTCCTAATGATCGATGTTAATCAGGGTGTTTCTGAAATACCGCCATCAGCGCTTCCGCACTGTGGCGCGCGACAGCTTCGACATCAAAGGTACAGCTGGCAGTCACACTAGGCACGGCTTTAAATGTGTTTAAACCTTCATATGATTTTTTTTTTCAATTTAAAACGTAACGTTTTAGACCTTCATTCTTTACAGAACACGAGAAAAAAATTGCTACCCAGGATTTTTTTTTTAACTTTTTGGTGAGAGTTTTATTTCGTCACAGAGCAGAGGCCCTTTTATATTGGACATACTGTACATTCTACAACAGCCGTAAATAGTACAAAATCTCAAGTATAAACCCGGATAATTAAAGTTATATTATCACGAGACAATGTAAATCCTGTTAATCGGAATATACATACACTGAAACCTGCAACCTTCCTTTATTTTTCTATTAGTTACCCCACGGTAGCATCCCGGATTTAATTACTGGCCTTAATTGAATCTAAGCGGCATGTACACTAATTAACGTAATCCGTCGCGTGAAAACACGAAACCTTATACTTACTTCCCTTAAAAATTCTGCTGTATTTACGATTTTAATTAAGTTAAAAGGCGGATTATAGAGTTCATCCTGGTCTATATTTTATGTGTTGTATGAAAATATTGTTTTTAGCGCAAGTGAAGAAACACTTTCGAATATATCGATATGCACCATCCACACGATGCGACATAAATATGTGTACTACGGTAAAACTAGAGATTTTCGCATTCTCGATCGTTCATAGTCTTCCACACCAAAATGCATTGACATTGGTAAATGTTTGGCATGTTACCGCATCATCTAGAGTCGGTTTATGTTATAAAATAATAATTGGTTTATTGGTTTAATTATATTTTCCATTATTTTCACTTATTCCGATTTCCAATCCTTGTAAAGTTAAATATGTCTCCTGATAAGTGATGCTAAGTAGACGTTCAAACGCACGTCTAGGTGGTTCCGCAGATTTTGGCCTTGTTGGTCTCGCCAGCTACACTCCAAACATATGTAAGCACCTGCTCTGACCTTTCTCACTATCGGCGCCTTTTGTGAGATTTCTCGAGTAGTTTGGGAGACTAGTTCAAGAATTCAAAATATGCGTGAATATTACAACTCCCCCTGTTTCGCTCATGAATTTACGGCGTTTTTGGTAGTCTCTGGTTGTCGTTCGTCGTGCCAAAGCGCTGTGAAAGCGTTGTAAAGCGCGTGTTCCATCATGCTCCTAAAGAATCATTCCGACATAACAATATTCTACATCGACTCCATCCCATTTGTTGTCTATAATTACGCTGTTGCGTTTCCACAAATCGCTCGTTCGATTTTTCGATCTAAATGTATTCCCAATGACATTTATTGCTCCATCGAACTACCGAATGTAAAAGGAACGTCGGCAAAAAGAAATGTAAACCCTTTTTAATTTAGAAGTAATCAACGTCCGAGGTAAACGTCAGTCTAGAGCCTACTGCGATACGGCGTTGTCACGCTCTTGGGGTCGGACGATCAATGGCCTGTTAAAGGAAATGCTTCCGAATCATTTGATGTTTCGTCATAAAGGGGAGAGATCGAACACTTCTGGAATTCCCGAGGGTGTTGACGTGTTGTCGTTTATTCTGCAAATAAGCTCTTTGCAAATAAATGCATTTGCTGAAGTAAAATTTATCTTAAGTCGAGTTTACCGAATTTGAAACGTTCAAGTCAAAAACCTCGCGCCGCGAGCGCGTGATCGGGCCTGGCGCTCCTTCTCCCGCTATGCCAATCGTTCATTAACGTTAACTTTCATTATAGCGTTTATTACATGAGCTATCAACTATAATTTTTTCACGTTCAAACACTAACTCGACTGGAGCATTAGAGGAATATATTACAGTCGGCTCAGAACCACGAACAATATCTTATAATTTAATAAAAAGCGAAAAGTTGCTCGTACCTGTTTTGGCGCCCAAAAATAAATATGCACGTAAATAGGAAGAATTCTATTCCGTTACTATCTGTGCCATATTCGCGGGGGGAAAAGAACAAGATATTATGGACGGGTCAATATTTGCTTGGGATGTGTGTTTGTGTCCGGAATTTGGCACACAAACGGAACACTTTTCACGAGATTTAAAGGATATACCAGAATATATGCGGATAGCAACAACCCAAACATTCATACGGGGTACTGGCAACACTTTTATGAATTAACATAATTGAAACAAGGCCCAAATTGAATCATTGAATGTATTAGACATCCAAGCGAACTAGATCGATGATATTAAATAAATTACAAGGAAATACCTCGTTAATTATTCAAATCGATTGGAAGTGCATGAAATATGTAAGCACCGTGGCAATTTTCTTGCAAGTACTTGCAGTTCCGGAGCTATTGACAAAATAAATATTGCAGCAGCCAATAACTTGTTTAATATTCGTACCAATACCCGCATTGTCTTTTTAGGTTTTGAATAAAAAGGACATTTTTAAATAATTTTTTCTCATAAATCCAGTTTTTAAATTGTTAGATTATCACTTTGAGTATTTTTCTGCACCCTACAGTTTATTTTATTTTTATTTTTACTTTACTTGACAAATTTGATAAACGAACACAACATCGCGACGAACACCGGACTACGGACCATTTTGGAGTTTTTGATCGCTACAGCGACCGTAATTAAATTGCAGTTTCGTAAAAACTCGCCGATGCAAAAAACGCTGGGTCAAACTCATTAACAACGGACCAAAAATAGAGCATTCGATCCGATAGTCTCTTTCGCTTTGCGCCGAAAGTTCCGTACGACCTCCGATAATAATTACAAAAGAACAGCTGAAACTCTGTTTACTCGACAGACAATTTCTACTCCGCCAGGCTCGAACCGAGCGCTGCCCGGAACAAACCGGGAACACAGACGACAGGACGAAGTGAAGAGAAAGGAAAGAATAATATTTGACGAATTATTAAAGTTCTCAAAATTTATAATACCTACTTATTAGAGCGCTAACAAAGGCGTGCGAACGTATTGTAATGTAGGATGTTTCGAAATTAGTCCTGAACGTTTTATTAACGCAAATAGAAAAAGAGAGTAAAGGTAAGGCAAGAAAGATATACAGGGTGTCCCACTAAGGTCGGCTAGGTACGATATTAGGGAAAGTATAGGCGCTAGAACTTCGGAAAAAAAATGTTGATGAATAAATCGACCAAGAGTAATCGCTGGAAATTGTTTTCAAGTTCGTAGCTCGGCCGCTAGAGGGCGCAATCTACATACCAAAACATAAAGTTGAATTTTTCTCCGAAATGTTTCCTATTCACGTACAAATATGGGTAGACGTATTCTTTGCGCGTAATTTTTGTTATTGACATTTTGTTCTGTCCCACGACAGAAAGGGTGGGGGAAACTCCTAATGTCTGATCAGAAAAATGCATTTTTTTCAGGATTGGCTCATCAAAATCCCGTAGTGTTATACCTCGTTAGAAAGGTCTTTTCACGTTTTATCTCGTGGTAATGTCGCTATGTCATTTACCTCAACATGGAAACCTATACGGCGTTATTTCAAAAGAATGTCCTTTATAGTATGTTTGGAAATGAAAGAGATTAATAAAACCCCGAGATAAGAACCGGCCATGGGCGTGCTAATATTTCGTTTCAGGTAATTATCGGGTAACACTAATGCTAACAGGTAATGGGTGTACATTAGTATATTGTACTGGATACATCATAGGGCAGGAGCCAGGGTATTGTGACAGATGAATCCAGTCTTAGAGCTGAATATACGAAGACGTGCTAGTGCAGTAGAGTAAAATTCGACTTGTGTTCAGTGACTATTGTGCCAGTTGATATAATATTGTAAATGGGGTAAAATGTCGAGCTTATCAAATTACGTACCTGCTAAACGCGTGAAAAGACGTGCGCTGTCTCAGAATGAGAAGATTATTGTATTAAATGTATTTAATGCATTAAAACACCAAAATCCTACCAACACGACATCGTGGAAAAATGAGAAAATCTACAGACTTTTAAAGGAAACAAAAAGTGAACAAGATACTGTAAATCCCCCAAAATCATCTACAGGGAGGTCAAAAGTCGTTATAGATGATTTCTTCAAAAATGTCATTCGCAGAAAAGTACACTCATTTTATTTTAAAAAAGAAATACCAACGCTAAACAAAATTTTAAGTGAACTTTCAGAGGACAACGATTTGCCAAAAATCAGTAGAAGCAAATTATGGGCCGTCTTACGAGAGTTGAATTTTTGCTGGGAAAAGCAGAACAGGAAGTCAGTTCTTATCGATAAAGATGAAATTATTTGTTGGCGAAGATCCTACTTAAGATCAATTAGAAAATTCCGTGACGAAGGGAGGAATATTTATTATCTAGACGAAACTTGGGTCAACGAGGGATATACTGTAACAAAAGTATGGCAAGATAAAAATGTAAAAAGTTTTCGACAAGCATTTTTGGATGGACTTTCAACAGGGTTCAAGGCACCTTCAGGTAAAGGGCGAAGATTAATAGTGACACATATAGGTAGTGCCAGTGGTTTTGTAGATGGCGGTTTACTTTTATTTGAATCTAAAAATACAGGTGACTATCACGAAGACATGAACGCAGATGTTTTCGAAGAGTATTTTACACAGATGTTGGATCTTATTCCTCCGGGGTCTGTAATTGTCATGGATAATGCCAGTTACCATTCACGGCAGACCGAGCGGACGCCTACGACTGCTTGGAGGAAAGCCGATATAATTCAATGGTTATCCGGAAAAAACATTTCTTTTGAAACAAATATGGTGAAAAAGGAACTTTTGACACTTGTCAATCTTAATAAAGATCAGAAAAAATATGTTATCGATGAAATGGCAACAAATCGCCAAATAACGGTACTACGGTTACCACCTTATCACTGTGAACTTAACCCAATCGAATTAGTCTGGGCGCAGGTAAAAGGAGATGTAGCGCGAAATAATACGACGTTTAAATTAAGTGACGTGAAAATTTTGTTAAAAAATTCCTTGGAACGAGTAACTGCAGATAACTGGCAAAGATGTATACATCATGTACAAAAAGAAGAGGAGAAAATGTGGGAACTCGATAATTTAATTGACGTTACTGTGGAACCTATCGTTATCAATCTAGGAGACGAAGATAATTCATCAGAATATTCAGAGGATGAATTTTAATATACCTACTTTTTTATTTTCTTTATTGTACATTTATACAACACTACATTTACTCACCATAATTTGAATTTTCAAAATACATATATTTTTGTGTGGAATAAAAGTCTATTCATTAAATTTAAATAAATATTTTGATAATAATATTGAATAATTTTATTTGAATTACTAAAAACCCTCTTAACCCGGTTATGATGCTTAAAGTAGCCTCATGTTTTGAAATGCTGTTTTTATATTGTTTACTTATAAGAGAAATGGACCGAGAAATTGAAGCGGCATAGACAAAGACGGATTGTCGGGGATTAAATTTTAGCTACCTGCTACAATTTAGTACAACCCGGTCACACAAAGTTTTTTTAAAAGTACACCTCATCTATACCGATAATACATAATATAAAAATATTGATTATAAGCACCAGTACTACATTTATTTACGATTTGCATACATAAAAAGCTTTTATTACTCTCTTTCATTTCTAAACAGACTATAATGGATTTTTCTCAAAAATTTTAAATGCAGTGCTATAGTTTTCTTTACATAAATGAATTCAGCACAAAAAATTGATGAGTATAAGTGTTAAATGAAAAAATGGATAACTCACGTGCAGCTTCCCCCTGCAGACAGCCTCCGCCAGCCTCCTTCCGCTGCCGTGGAAGGGCAGCGTGCCCGAGAGCAGCGCGTGGAGGAGCACCCCCGCGGCCCAGATGTCCACTGCCTTGCCGTACTGCCTCCGCTCGATTACCTCGGGGGCCATGAAATTCGGACAACCGACCCTACCTGTAAACGTAAATCGTACATTCCTCGAAGGACACTGTCAAGTATAACTTCTTCGCGACCTGCAGGAAATCGGATGGTTCTTCCGAACTTACCGAACGAAAAAACAACTAAAAGATGAGTCTACCTCGTCTTCAAGGGTAGTTGGGCAAGAAAAAGAAAAAAAATGCTTCGAAATGAACAATTACGTCTGTGTTTCGAAAGAACCAATCCCGGGCTAGTCTTCTGGTGCAGAAGTTTTATTTATATACAGGGTGTTGAAAAAATGCGTGTTCTAGTGCACGAAGAGGTACTTCACTTAAAAATAAAACATAAAGTTCCTTTTGCATAAAAGAATTAGTTGTTTCTTTTTAATCGCTTCGGGGATATTTTGGAAAACGAAAAACTTTAACGCTCTGTACCCCAGACAAGGATGAACTTTTTGTCTTACTTTCGGATGAAGAATCTCCTATCGAGCACGTGAAACAACGCATACGTATGTGATTGTTCAAAGCCTATGTACAATACTACAGCAATAAACAATTAATTTTGAAGTATATACAAACAAATTTCGACCTGTCAGGAAGGTTTCATAAGCAAAAAAATAAGGGAAGCTGGTCTAAAATGCATTTACATTCAAAATAAGCTTTACGAGTATATTAAATACTATTTTTAATTTACATAATTTAAATTAATTTACACCTTTACATTTTTAAAGGAAATTATAAATAGAATATTCATTGGAAATTTATTTTTAATGTATATTTCTAATAAAAAACAAAAATATTGACATATCTGAGATTATTGTGAGGTAATTTTTTTATGTAAAAGAATGTTTTTCTTAATTTTTACTTAACCATAAATTCTCATACAGAAGAAAATCATGCTCTTCACATAATATTAGTCAATATTTCGAAAATCGATCATGTTTCCATTTTTAAAATCAAGTTTTTTTAGTCACTGTGAGATTTGTGATTGAACAAAAATAGTTTTTTTCCACAAATACTGGAACAATTCATGCTGCAAACATGTACTCTTAAATGAACTGTAATTACATGTAACCGTGTTTTGTCATTAATTTCTAACACTCTGTATGTGGTAGAAGAAATAAAACAGATGAAAGGTGCAGACTGTACATCCTTAATAGATACACTCTCCTCCAAGCGCTTTCGTCCAATTTAACAAGAAAATAAGCAAAGACGTGACTGTTTTACTCGACTACTAAATTATACTACGGCTTTCCCTTATTCATTTTCATTGTTTTACCAGCCACCTTGATGACTGCTCTTAAGTGGGAACAAGAAAATGCGGCAAAATGCTTGGCGGATATTAGCACTTTTTTTTATTTTGTCTGTATACAGTCAGTTTGCAATGTCGTTCTCATAGCGAACAGAGATGCCTCCCGAATGTAAGAAATAATGGGCAAACCTTCGAACGTATCTACTAAGACTAACTATTTCATGTGATTTTAAACAAATGATATAAACATAAATTTTATTTTTAAAAAGTTTACTTCGGAACGCATATTACATAAATCATCCAGTTCAAAACTGTACTCGTATTGCACATTGTTCTTGCCTATGTCAAAACTATTCACCCATGTGACTTAAAACAAATGTTTTGCCGCACCACGTTATTGAAAAGTCTGAGAAGTTCGCGAAGCAATGGTAAACGCAATTTATAACCTCGGGTCAACAGCCGATATGTTGGCATAGGATATTATTCGCCCAGAACGGAAACTTTTGTGAGTATATTACAATGTCGTAATCTACAGGAAGTTTGACAGATCATGTTTTCGTATGTACAGAGAATGCTAGGCCCAAAGAAAGCTCTTTATGGAGAATATTAAATACAGTACATTTTTTATATAGGATTTTGGACATAAAAGAGACTAAATATATCCTTGATTCAAGATTTTTGTAAATAAAAACGAAGGCTTTACATATCTGTGTCTAGCTTCAAGCGAGCACACTGTATATCCAATATACTATCGTATTAAATACCTATTTGCCTTTTCTTTGAGTCTGTGTTAATTTCCTGTTAAGCGTCCTGTAGTAGACATATAAAATGTCAATGGCTCTATAATATTCCCCTCCCCAGCTCAAGTGATAAATTCTAACAACTCAACTACAAACTCACACGACTTGCAACGAACGTTGGCGCGTGTTTTTCAAAAAATACACCTAATATAAAAGATCACATTTCCCAAATACAACCGTTTCTCCCCCCTATAGACGACAAGGCAGCATTATTAAAGCTCGCTTCGTAGAAGAAGTAAAATCGATCTCGAAACACGAGGCTGCAGTTCCACTAAAGCCACAATGCAAGGTTAAGCAAAAACTGCCTTTGAATTCCAGTCGCTGATAGTGAATTAACCGACAAAAGGTACCCACTGAACGCAATTGCAATAGATATCAAAATTATAAAGGTGGCTCTGAAAACATAAACGTCGAGTGTTGTTTTAGTAACGTCGTAATACTGCACGAAGAAAAAAATATATACAAATTTGTAACGTTATTCTTGTAAGATCCATGAAGTTCGAAAGATTGCCCATCATTTTCTCGACCCTCTGTATAATTAAGTTGATTTTTAATTTCAAAGCAAATGTGTACTTAGAAAATGATGTAAAGCAGAGTCTACAAATTTCGATTAATATATTAAGGTACTTTACACATACAGGGTGTTTGGTCTAAAATTTTTATAGTAGTTCTCAAAAAAACTTGGACTATGGACGTAAATACAACAAAAAAAAATCAGACACAAAACAAAAACAATGTTTCAATATTTTTCACTCTCAAAAAATTGACAAATTAAAATGAAGAGCTTTTCTATATGCTCCACAGGGTGGAGTGATATTTTACGTAAATTCATAAACTTACTTCTGAAAATTTACAGGGTGGTCTATTAGTGTAGTGCAACAAAGTGTAATAACCGTGTTATTATTTGAAAAAAAAATTTAAATGTTCAAAAAAATTACAAGTATTTACAGCATTGCCAAATTATGAACAAAATTTAAATATTGTAATGAATTGAAAATGTAAACAAAGTATCACGATTGAAAAATTACCTGACCGAACTTTAGTCCAAAAATAAAAATTAATTATTGATATAGCAAACAATAAAATAGTATAAAATTGTAAAAAAAAATAGTTATGAAAATTTTATATAAAATATTAATTTGATGTGGTTTTAATAAATTTAATTTAATTTATTAAAACCACATCAAATTAATATTTTATATAAAATTTTCATAACAATATAGAAAATATAGTAGTTAAAACCTGTGATAATTTCAAATAGCAATATTAGAACCAAAATATTTGACAATCTGAAAGATAACAGTTTGTCTAAAAATAATAAATGACTGAATTGAAGTAATGTCATTGTTCATTGTAAACGAACATTAATATTGATGGTTGCCTATGCTCGGCTTGTAATCATCTATAAAAACTCTGTAGGTTTTTAATTGTCAGTGTTGCGAGAAACAACTACTCCGCGAGCTACATGCCCCGACCGGTATTGATTTATACTCGCAACATCCAGTGCAATAGTTCGTCAGTTTAACCCATCGGACACGTCCGGTTTCGGACTTACTAGTCCTCATCAGTGTGTCGTAGGTGAGACAACCGACGAACGATCCAGCCGTTATGCCGCCGTATCCTCACGACAATCCTCTGTATAAAGTGTTCCATTAAAAGACATTTTTGACTGCCACCTGTGCATTTGAAAATAATCCGTACAGTTTTCAATTCAATTTTTTTCTATCTCCAGTAATAAAAGAGCTATTGGACTCTGCAACAGTAATAGACCACCTTGTATGTGCTGCCTTTTCCGCCAAGATATTACGATCTTAGCCGAGCTTGTCCGGACACGCTCAAAGCTGACTGCGATACACAACAAAACAAGTCCAAACATAAACACAGAACTCAAAGTATAATACTTGATCAGGCAAGACAAAGCTGGTTGAATTAATTCTAAACACGTCCACTACAGGGCACAAAAAAAATCAGGCACTAGATAAAGTGAACCTACAGAACAGCAGAATTGCATATGAGATTCGAGATGATCTTGACAATACAATGAAATATGAGAGAGTGAATGAATTCCGGTTTGCGGTTTTATGGTCCTGCCAACGGCGCCCCCGGAACGGATGCGACGCTTCGGTGGTGAAAAATTGGCCGCTCGAAAGCGGTGTGCCCGATGAGTGTAGGTTCGAGGGGTTACTCGTCGAAATTCCCACTATTTAAAATCATGTTAGTCCTTACAGATGCGTAGCGAAAATTTTTTGGCTAACTCGACTAAAATTTTATGAAAATTGTACGAATCTAGTAACATTAATCTAGAAAACTCGCTTTATACACTGAAAAAAAAATATTTGGATCAAACGAGCAGATAGTTTTAAGTAGAATTATTTGCCGTAAACGTTATTTCATTCTATTCAAATGTTATATACTTTCGTCAAACTATGTTGCTGTGATCTATAATTTTTCGTAGAATTTATATTATTGAAAAAAGAGCAAATTCCCCAGCGGCTTTTGCCTGGCCCTGGAACAATTTGTTTATAACGCTGATTTGCACGTCTTACTTTCTTAGTTGTAAAGGGCAACTTAATTTCAACTTTCTGAAATTTTTCCGTCAAGATTTTCTGGCCAGTAAAAAAAGGAAAAAAAAAACACGAGTTACTTTTTTGATATTATCATTCCCCGTCATAGTCCAGTCCCTGAAGCATTTTGACTACCAAATTTCAACTGTAGCTAGGGAATAGCCCAAGAAACAAAAGTTATATAGTGCCGATATGTGCTTTTACCCTAGGGGTGGATGCCACCCCTTCTGGAGGGTGGGAGTTTTTTTTATTAAAAATAACCTCTAAGCAAAAAATGTTCTATAAGAATTTTTTGACAAGTCAATACTTTTTTGAGTCATTTGCGCCTAAACATGTTCGTTTTTAGCACGAAAAATTTATGTTTTTGAGCCATTTTTCGCAAATATCTCAAAAACTATAAGTTTTATCAAAAAAAATGATC